ATAAGACACTTTTGCATCGTTGTCAAGCTTGATATATGCCTGTCCGAGTGTTCGTAATCGCGGTAGCGCGTCATTTTGATTTGGCATATTTTCAATTCTACGAGTTTTATGTCTGTAAGTACTTGGACTAGGCTTTCGACAATTCATCAAATCAAAAAGAGCGAGATTTGGTATCAAGATTTGGGTGTTGGCTGAGTCAGCCACGGGATACGTGTCAAAACTTCAGATTTATGTTGGTAAAGATCCAACGGCTGATCCAGAACCCGGACTGTCTTCTCGGGTAGTGAAATACTTGATAAATCCTTTTGAGGGGCTGCATCATCATCTGTATGTGGATAACTTTTACACCAGCCCGGAACTCTTTGAGTATACGCTCTCAAAAGGTGTTTACGCTTGTGGTTGTGATACCTTCAGGAGCAATCGAGTGGGATTCCCAAAAGAACTTATTGTGACGCGCGTGAGAGCTATTGACAGAGGCACAAGCGATTGGCGCATGTCAAACCAATTGCTCGCCCAATCATGGGTTGACAATAGAGTCGTATATTTTCAGTCTACTTTTCACAAGCCGGAATATGGTCCATCAGATGTCGGCCCTAGGACAGTGAAGAGGAAAGGTGGACGAGGAGATTCATCAGGTTCTATCGACGTGCCATGCCCACCTCTACTCCGTGACTATAACACGCATATGGGCGGCGTTGATCTGTCAGATCAGATGCGCAAATATTATAATTTGACGGGGAAGTCAAGGGTTTGGTACCGTAGGGTATTTTCGTATCTATTAGAAGTGGCAGTCCACAATTGCCGAGTGATCGCGGAAAAAATTTTGGAAAGGAGATGGTCCGGATTGGAATTTCGGATAGCTTTAGTTACTGCTCTGATTGGCAGTCAACGAGCCTCCAAAGGCCTCTCTGGATCGTCGACGGCATCCCTGGACAGGCTACAGAATACAGGGGAGCACTTTCCAATCTCTACCGGGCTCTGAAAGTGTGCAAAGTGTGTTCCAAAAAATGCAGAGTCGGTGCCGACGAAAGAGTTACAATTCCACGAAGCTCGGTAAAATGTAGGGAATGCGATGTCCACCATTGTGTTCGAGAAGGCAGGGACTGCTTTCTTCATTGGCACACGAAAGTGGAATATTGGCGACGAACCCAGTACTATTTTCCGTTTAGTGGTCTTTTTCAATATGCCTTTTAGATTTTGTTTTCTCTGTGTGCTTGTTCATTGTTTTTTACATATTCAGTACTGTTTTCCGTTTAGTGTTTTTTTTTTTAATATCCTTTTTACATTTCGTTTTCATTGTGTGTTTGTTCATTGTTTTCATAAATGTCGTTATTTACTCAACACAATTGTGATTGATGATAGAATTCAAAAGATATGGGGACGAACGACATAGAATTTAGGTCGCTTTTCAGATAATAAACTAATGTCAGCAATAAGTTTACGAGTGCTGAGAGCTGTATAGTAAGTCAAAAATAAATATTCGCCGGCATCGTCAAATGCTAATTGAATACATTGCGCTATTTCATTACTAATGCGCATTGGCGGCGCTAGACGTTTGCGATTTTGTGCCGAATTGAAGGTCGCGGCGGCCATCTTGCTACGTGCGACTTTCTGCTTGCGGGTGCGCTGAGTGGGTTGGATCAAAGCGTTGGATTAGCCGTGTCAACGGTGCAAAATGTAAGATATTTTGAGGAAATTCATCGTTATGCGCGTTGTAATGGATTTCCACGCTATTGTTGGTGGTTTAGCCATTAACTTGGAAAAGGATAACACAAAAGATGTATGCATAGAGGTTGAATGATCAATTTTTGGAAGACAGGTGGGTACGGTGCCGTATTTGGTCTAGCTTGTGAAATACAAGTAAAATTTATATGTGATCGGTACAGATGTTGGTGGTTATACCATGACACCTAATATATAAAACCACGTTCTGGTTTTTGCAAGATTGTTGAAAATACCGTAATATATTTCGATAGCTTTTGACAGTATGATGTTTCGTTAACTAGGTTTTGCTCGATTTTGTTGTGGTTAACATGTACCTAATGCCATGCCAGTCTAGGTTCGAATCAATGAACGAGCCCAAATTGGAAACTGTTGAATAACTGTTATATCTTACCAGAGATACAACGTTCATCCATGTAGAAGCGAAATACCAGTAAGCAATCTTAACCTAGTAAGCCATTTTACTTCCAACTTCAATATTTTAATTTTTAGGTGAAAGTGTGAAGTGAATCAAGTCATTTGCTGCTGCCTACTCCTGAAGTCTCTCCAGAAGTGTCTCCACTTCCTTCCACTAACCAGCTTTTCAACTAGTGTCAATCAACACAGCACAAGGCACATTCATTTCATTTATTTTTTTGTAAAATTTGTAATGCAATTCAAACTTACAAAAATTATGCAAGCACTCGTTCTATCTGAGATGTACCGGGTATGCAAGAAACTAAGAAACTAATTTTGTAGAGTAGACAATATTAGAATAAGAAGATTCAAGTATGAAATCCATAAATCTGTCCTAGTGAATCAATCAGGAAAGTTTGAAAGTAATATATAATCTTGAACCGCCAATATGCAAAACTGAAGGCAATTGTACAAAGCGGACTAAACAAAAAAAGCATATTAAAAGAAAATATGCAAAACTGAAGGTAATTGTACAAAGTGGACGAAACAAATAAAGCATATTAAATATATGCAAAACTGTAGGCAATTGTACAAAGTGGACTAAACAAAAATGAAATATTAAAGGCAATTGTACAAAAAGGACTAAACAAAAATGGCATATTAAAAAATATGAATATGAAAAATGGCATTGAAAGAGTGTGTGTATAGAATGTAATGGGCATGTACAAGGTTGTTTATGAAGTTTATTCCCAATTAGTCGATTACTGATTTTTCAGCAGCACCAATTTGGTCATGCGCCTCCAATTCTGGACTGATGGATTTCAGCAGTCTTCTCTCTGCCAATATGGCGGTACCTTAGGTCACAGTATTTTTTGATAATTTTTTTTATGAGGACATAGAAATGATCATCTTCAATTGCACATTCAGTCATGTGTTCACTAAGTTTTGGGAATAACCTTTTTGTATTAATTGACTCCAACACAGCGCATGAGATTGCAGTCGTCAATCCTCTTTGTTTTGGAATTTCACTATTTGTTGTAGAGAACATTCTCTGGAAGCAGCGCTCGGTTTCTTGGCAGATGTATACAACACTATTAGAGGGTTTTGTCAAACCCCCTCTGTTCTTGAATTGCAAAAAACTAGAAGCCGGATATGTGTCCGATACCAGCACATCTGCACATTGACTACAGCTTGTTACATTTTTCACAGACTTAGCAACAAAACCAGCAAAGTAGGCAATTACGGAGTACTTATATTCCGAGAGCATGATAATATTTGGCTTGTCATCATAGTCATGATCAACAGGGGCTGGATCTCTCATAACCATGTCATATTTCCGTATTATGCTAGCTGTTGTTAAACTCACATTTGCTTCATGGGCACTGCTATTCTCGAGAAGGTGGAGCATGCGCGTATAATCCAAGGGTTGACAATTTCCTCCTGTACATTTAATACCACCTCTCACTAACATGCGCTTGTAAGCAGCAGTGAACTGTTGAGCAGTAGGGTTGTTGTTAAATCCACCGGCAGATCGAACTGCACAAAAAAATTTCAACGAAATCTTCAAAGATCATTTTCACGCTGGCAATTGATACCATGAAAACCTAAAAAACCAGTTTTGCGCCTAGAAGATAGAACTGGAGTGCCAGTGCTAGTCTTTAGATTTAAAATATACTGGGCGCATGTGTCAAGAAAAGAATACCATGAATGCTTGTTGTTGATGCGTAATGGTGTCTTGTATCCCCTGCCAAGTGGGTTCCTAGAGTTTAAAATGTCGAACAGATGGTCAAATTTTCTTATGAATTCAACAGTTGCATCACAACCACTAAACTGCTGCAAATGCAGATGATGGTTGCAAAACTCCCAAGGCATCTGCGACCCCCTGACTCAATGTTTGTGCAGCAATATTAACTTTCATTTTTTGTTCTTTCCAATATATGTGGTCACGTTTCAATTTGTTTGCCAACCGAAGACCTTCTTCACGCTGCAGCTTTTCCAATGCCCTTATGTAATTCCAAGATATGGTCTGGCCATTGTGATTTTTTAGAATACCGAACTCTGCAAAAGTGTTGCGAACAAAGCTTCAACATATGACAAACATCAAAGAACTATGTAGATTTTCTAATCTTGATCTGAGGGATTAAGAAAAAAGGGGCGCATGTTTGTTGGACTAATTGAGGCTCCCAGAGATGACAGCATAGCGAAATGACATGAAGGCCCATCACATGTAATAGATGTTATCAATACTCCAGTCTTTGATAATTTTGTTATACAGCATTTAACAATATTAGCTCTCTCAGTGCCTGATAGCCCGTCAATCATAAAATAGCCAAGAGGGACTTTCCATGATGAATTTACAGCCACAGTCATAATAACCAGAGCCTCTTTTGCGACCGGTGCTGAGAGATCTTGATCAGCTCCAGAGCCTATGTCGACAAGTCCCCTGTATTTCTGTCCATCCCAAAAAATATCCTTTCGTACACTCATTTCATCCAACATGATTGAACAAACCACTTTCTCTTTTGACTGCGCAGCCTCAGCTTTCAAGGCATTAAAATGAAAGCTCAGTAAATCCTGGCTCGGCTGGAATTTTGGAATACCAGCGTAGAATTTGACATGGGTGAGGTAAAGCTAGATTGAATGTTTGCCTTACGAATTGGTAAGCCTTAGCAGAATAAAAGTGCAAAGTAAAGGCAAATGCTTTCAATTCAGGGGGATACTTTTTGTGGCTGGGTCCATCAAGGGTTCGCTTAAACATTGCCGAAGGTATAG